CTTTCAACAGTTGAATGGAGGCAGATGATTGCAGGTAAAGGGACAGCTGGAAAATAGGAAGCCTTCAAAACTGAAGTAACAAGAGTCCTGTTAGAGTGAAGGGCAAGGCTGGCAGGTGTAGGGAATGCTGGATGACTAGAGAAATTAAGGTTTTGGTCAAGAAGAGTATAAAGGCAGTAGGAGTATACTTAACAGGGAAATCAAGAGAGCAAAAAGGGGGCATGAAATAGCTTTGGCAAATAGGGTTAAGGAGAATCCAAAAAGATTCTATAAATACATTTAGGACAAAAGGGTAACTAGAGAGAGAATAGGGCCCCTTAAAGATCAGCAAGGCTGCCCATGCGTGGAACTGCAGGATATGGGGGAGATACTAAACCAGTATTTTGCATCAGTGTTAACTGTGGAGAAGGATATAAAAGATTGAGACTGTGGGGAAATAGATAGCAACATCATGAAAACATCCCCCATATTACAGAGGGGGAGTTGCTGAACGTTTTAAAATGTATGAAGGTGGATAAATCCCCAGAACCTGAATGTGTGTAGCCTAAACTCTGTGGGAAGTGAGGAAGAGATTGCTGGGCCCCTTGCTGAGATATTTGTATCATTAATACCCTCGAGTGAGGTGCTGGAAGACTGGAGGTTAGCTAACGTTGTGCCACTATTTAAGAAAGATGGTAAAGAAAAGCTAGGGAACTACAGACCAGTGAGCCTGACATCAGTGGTGGGAAAGTTGTTGGAAGGAATCCTGAGGGACAGGACTTACACGTATTTAGAAAAGCAAGGACTGATTAGGGATGGTCAAAATGATTTTGTGCATGGGAAATCGTATCTCACTAACTTGACTGAGTTTTTGAAGAAGTGACAAAGAGGATTGATGAGGGCAGAGCAGTGGGCGTGGTCTACATGGACTTCAGTAAGTGGTAGACTAGTTAGCAAGGTTACAGCACAGGGAATACTGGGAGAACTAGCCATTTGTATACAGAATTGGCTCAAAGGTAGAAGACAGAGGGTGCTGGTGGAGGATTGCTCTTCAGACTGGAGGCTTGTGACCAGTGGTGTGCCACGAGGATCGGTGCTGAGTCCACTGCTTTTTGTCATTTACACATATGATTTGGATGTGAATATAAGAGGTATGGTTAGTACGCTTGCAGATGAGACTAAAATTGGAGGTGTAGAGGACAGTGAAGAAGGCTACCTCCGAGTACAATGGGATCTTGATCAGAAGGACAAATGGGCTGAGGAGTGACAGATGGAGTTTCATTCAGATAAATGTGAGGTATTGCATTTTGGAAAGGCAAATCAGGGCACACTTAATGGTAACTCTGGGGAGTGTTGCTGAACAAACAGACCTTGGAGTGCAGGTTTGTACTTGTTGAAAATGGAGTAGCAGGTAGATAGAATAGTGAAGACGACATTTGGTATGGCTGCCTTTATTGGTTTGTGCATCGAGTATAGGAGTTGGGAGGTCATGTTGCAGCTGTACAGGACATCGGTTTGGCCACTTTTGGAGTATTGCGTGCGATTCTGGTCTCCCTCCTATAGGAAAGGTGTTGTGAAACTACAAAGGGTTCAGAAAAGATTTACAGGGATGTTGCCGGGGTTGGAGGGTTTGAACCATAGGGATAGGCTGGGGCTATTTTCCCTGCAGCATTGGACCCTGAGGGGTGACTTTTTAGAGGTTTATAGAATCATGACGGGCATGGATAGGGTAAATAGGAATGGTTTTTCCCTGGAGTGGGGGAGTCCAAAACAGGAGGGCATAGATTTAAGGGGAGAGGGATTAGATTTGAGAGAGACCTAAGGGGCAACATTTCCACAACGAGGGTGGTACATGTATGGAATGAGCTGCCAGAGGACGTGGTGGAGCCTGGTCGGATTACAACATTTAAAAGGCATCTGGATGGATATATGAATAGGAAGGGTTTAGAAGGACAAGGTCCAAATGCTGGCAAATGGAACTAGATTTATATAGGATATCTGGTCAGCATGGGCGAATTGGACCGAATGGTCTGTTTCCATGCTGTATATCTCTATGACTCTGTGAGGTTAATAACTTTGCAATAAAAAACATGTCATTTATCTTTTTAATTTCTTGCTCTATATGCATGCTAACTTTGTTTGTCGTATTAGTGTATGCAAATCCATCTGAACATCAATATTTGAAAGTTTTACATATTCTCAAAATATTCTGCTTTTTAATTCTTTTTATATATTCTCACATTATGGCTTGACTGCCATCTTTCTGCCCATTCACTTAAGTGATATATATCTATCTCAATGAAACTTGTATCCTCTCACAGCTTACGTCCCCACCTAAATCTGTATAAACAGAAAACTTAAATACATTACTCTTGGCCTCCAAGCGTAACTCATTATTATGGACAATAAATAGCAAAGCCCTCAGCATTGATCCTTGTAGCAATTATGGTGTCCACAGTGACCACGTATGTAGGACAGGTGTTCAGCTGCAGCTCCTGGCCGACTGCAAGGAGTGGCTGGAGCTGCGGATGGACTCACAATGGAGCATGTGTGATGCTGAGGGTGTTGCAAGCTGGTCACATCACCAGTAAAGGCTACGCAGACAGAAAAGCGTTAGGTGACCATCATGAAGACTAGTAAGCGTTGGCAGATAGTGCAGGAGTTCCCTTGGTCATCCCCCCCTCAAACAGATATGTTACGTTGAACCATGAGGTGGGGTGGGAGGTGGGAATTGCAGGTGGTGGTGGTGGCCTCTTAACAAAAGCAACAACAGCTAAGTTTGTGGCTGGTTCTGCTGCACAGCAGGGGAGGGAAAAGTGATAGGGGACTCATTGTGAGGTGAATTGACGGGTCATTCTGTGGCAGTAAATGTCACTCTCGAAACCTATGTTGCCTCCCTGGTGCCAGGTGAGGAATATCTCAGAGCAGCTGTAGGGTATTCTGAAGTGGGAGCAAGAACATCCAGCAGTCATGCTACATGTCAGTACCAACAGCATGGGTTAAAAAAAAGTGAGATGTGCAACAGTAATTTAGGGTTAGGTAGAAGATTAGAAAGGATTTACTAAGGCTGTAATCTTCAGATTGCTGGAGAAATTTGATAGTTCATTGGCCACAGATGAAGTGCCAGATGAGTGGGGATAGCTAACATAGTTCCTTTATTCAAGGAAGGCAACAGGATAGGCCAGGTATTTACAGACCAGTCAGATGTCAGATTTAAACCCCTGCCACCAAAGCATTAATCTGGACCTCTGAATTGTAAGTCCAACGACATTGCCACTATTCCACCATCTCCCCTTCAATGTTCTACGTTTCTATAAGCAAAACATGTGAACTATATGTGGTGTAAGGTCAATGTTCTCGCATTAATTAAACACAAAAGACCAAAATTAGAACAGTGGAAATGTCCACTGCAAGACTGAACAAAAGAGCTGTAACAAACAGATTGTAAAATTCTGTTGGTTATAGATTAACATCACTGGGCTTATGACAATTTACTGACTGACAGACCAACCAATCCAAGCTGGCTTCTTATAGGAAACCTATTCAGAGAGGTCAAATTCCATTTGTAGTTAAAAATAGAACAGGAAATAATCACAAATGCAATTCACTAAAAAATCAACTATCGTCGCATTTTCATTGTGTACACTGTTCACAGTCTCAGCCCCAGAGAAAGGGGTGTAATTTTATAACTAATTCAAGTCCACTGATCTATACACAAAACAGTATTAAACTTTGAAAGCTCATTCCTGAACTTCCTGCTTGGTCTTAAATTACAAATGCCATATGCTCCACGACAACCATAAGTCACTTCCTCTTCACTCTTGCAACTGATGACTTAATAAATACCTGGCAAAATTTCAATCAGGCCAATACAGTGTGGATTAAGCAACTGATCATTAGAAAATTGAACTGAACTCAGTGACCCCAATTTACAACAAAACAAAGCACAAAACGTTCAACAGAATAACACTAAAATTAGGTACAAGGATTTAACCACAATAGTACAAGATAGAGCAACCAGAAATGAATGTTATGATTAGTGGCTAGACCCAAAGTACCGGTGAAGAATCTTATCTTCAACTCTGAGCTAAAATACATCAAAACAATTAAAAGAATTGCTACCCTAAAATGCAAAACAGATGAAATTCGACTATCAGCCACTCATACCAGGATCCAGTTATACACAGCAATGAAATGAAAATTATGCCTCAGAATAAACTGAATAACTCATCAACCATAGTCAAAAACACAATTATATACCTTTGTATATAATACAAATTCCCACACTATTTTTAGAATTTTCTCCATTTTCCCTCCTTTTCTGAAGGCAGTGATGACTACTGGTTGTAGGCCACAGCTCCACAGTTTCAATGACTATTCCACACATTGGCTGAGACAGTGAGCGGAGTAAGTAGAACTGCAGCTGCAACCAAATGGCAATGCAAAAGAGCTCATTCCTGCCTGGTCTATGTTTCATTTTCCAGCAAAGATCACTGGAAAATAACTGGTATCAGGAACTTTGGTTGATTGTACCCCGTACCCCACCCCCACCACTTCAGAGGCAGTGGGTTCCATTTGCATTGTTGCAACCAAACTGACCTGAACACAAGGGGGAATGAACACCTCACTTCAGGATGGCTTAATCCCACATGCCACATTGTGCATTCATCCATCAAAATATCAAGAAAATCAAAGAAGATCTGTATTAATGACTGAGAGACATATTTTGCACATTATTTTCATATGATATTATAGATTAATAAAGCAAAATTGTGTTCAAGGTGTAGCTGCTGATGGTGACAATTGTTTTCTTATAGCCATCAAATGCTTGAGTTTCACAAGTAAAAATTAGGTAATCAAAAAGTAAAAGGTGTTATAATGAATGAATGATTATATGTAAGGAGTTACAAACGGGTTAAGACTACACTGGTATTGTTAACCTGATGCAGATCAATGTCAAAACACTGCCTTCATAAAAACTACAGGGCATATGGTCCAAAACCTCAAACATCTTTGCTTACCTTGCTGGAGGTGGAGATCTTTGTTTTGGTTTCTCCTTCTCTCGTTCTCTGTCTTTTTGAGCTCGGTCTTTTTCTTCTCGTTTTGCACGCTCTCTTTCCCACTCTTCTTTTCTCCGCTGTCGTTCTTTGTCACGTTCACGCTCTCTGTCCCGTTCTCTCTCTCGTATTCTGTTTCCTCGTTCTCTTTCTCTTTCTCTTTCTCTCTCACGCTGTTCTCTGTGTCTGTCGCGTTCTCTTTCTCGTTCTCTTTCACGTTCTCTTTCCCTCTCCCTTTCCTGGCGTGGATAAAAAAAGGGTTAGATTTTTCCATTGTTAAAGTACCATTAATATTAGTATAAAACCCCAAAGAACTGCAGATGCTGGAAATTAGAAACAAATGGGAAAACTCAGCATCTGTGGAAAATAACTAGAGTTAAAGTTTTGGGTCTCTCATGACCCATCTTCAGAACTGATTGCAGGGTTGAAACAGAAAGGATTCTAAGAAAGGGTTCTAAGAAACGGTTGGTATATTGAAGATGGGGTGGGGTGGGGGGAGGAGTAAACGACATGCGGAGATGAAGCCCAGACAGAGAGAGAACAATAGTTGGACAGACAAAGGAATGAGTAAAGGTCAGCCTGGGGTAATCAATTGCTGCTAATTGGGACCATGAGTAGCTGACAATGGGATGGTTGTGGTAGCAGCCTGTGATGGCAAGTCGTGGTGTGTCGGGGCTCGGATAAGGATATGGGAGAAAATGCTCGATACTGAGTCCCGAAGGCTCCAGGGTCCTCAAGCAGAAAATGAGATGCCGTTCTTCCAATTTGCACTGAGCTTTGCAGGAGAGATGCAGCAAGCCTGAGACAGAGCTGTCGGCCAGGGAACGCAGTGGTGTATTGAAGTGACAGGCAACAGGAAGGTCAGGATCATTTTTGTGGACAGATTGTAAGTGTTCTGCGAAGCGTTCGCCCAGTCTGTGCTTCATCTCCCCAGTTTAAAGGAGACCACATTGTGAGCAGCTGGAAGATATGGCTTGGGTCTTGGATAGTGAAGCGAGAGGAAGTAAATGGGCAGGTGTTACACCAGAGGGAATGGTTTCTGTGGAAGGCTGACAGTCGAGGGAAGGGGAATGTGTGTCTGGTGGTGGCACTCTGTTGGAGATGGCAGAAATGACAGCCAATGATCCTTTGGATGTGGATACTGATGGGGTGGTAAGTGAGAGACAGGGAGACTGTATTACTGTTGTGGGAGGGAAGAGAAGGGGTGAAAGCTGAAGTGCAGGAGACGGGTCAGACACTGTTGGAGGCCCTGTCAACATGGTGCTGGGAAATCCTCGGTTAATGAAGGAGGTGGACATTTCGGAAGACCCCTTGTAGAGGCTGGCATCATCGGAACAAATGTGACAGAGAAGGAGAAACTGAAAGAATGGAAGAGAGTCTTTACAGGAAGCCAGGTGTGATGATGTACAGTCAAGATAAGTGTGGGAGCAGGTGGGTTAGTAGTGAATATTGGCAGCCAGCCTATCCCCAGAAATGGAAACAGAGGTGTCAAGGAAGAGAAGGGAGCAGTCAGAATGAAGGTGAGTGGGATGGAAATTGGAAGCAAATAGAAAACTTATACAAACTTGCATGAGATTTGTATATCGGGATGGCACGGTGGCTCAGTGGTTAGTACTGCTGCCTCATAGCACCAGGGACACTGGTTCGATTCCAGCCTCAGGCGACTGTCTGTGAGGAGTTTGCACATTCTCCCCACATCTGCATGGCTTTCCTCCGGCTGCTCCAATTTCCTCCCCACAGTCCAAAGATGTGCAGGTTTGGTGGATTGACCATGCTAAATTGCCCAGAGTGCCCAGCAATGTGCAGGCTAGGTGCATTACCCATGGAGAATGCAAGGTTCCAGGGATAGAGTGGGGGTTGGGTTTGGGTGTCTTGCCCTTCAGAAGGGTGGTGTGGACTTGATGGGCCAAGTGGCCTCTTTCCACACTTTAGGGATTCTATGATTCTGTGAACTAGGGAAGCATCACTGATGATGTCATCGATGTACCAGAGAAAGAGTTGTGGCTGGGAATCATATTGGGACTGGAGCAAGGAACTGTTCATGTACCCACAAAGAGACAAGCATTACTGGGGGCCCAAGTGCCTCAGAAATGTCCACTTTCTTCCTCAACTGAGGATTCTCCACCACCATGGTTGACAGGGCCCTCACCCCTTCCCTTTCCTCCGACACAGCATTAGGGTCCCACTGGTCTTCACTTACCATCCCACCAGCATTCACATTTAGAGGATCACCTGCCACCTTTTCCGCCACCTTCAGTGGGATGCTACCACTAGACACATATTTTCCTCCACTCCCTTGTCAACGTTCCGCAGGGACTGTTCCCTCTGGGACACTTTAGTCCTCTCCTCCTCCATTCCCAACATCTTCCCACACCGTGGTTGGTTCGCTCACTGAGCTGGTTTGTTAGTTCACAGACATTTCATTACCCTGCTGGGTAATATCATCAGTGCAGCCTCTGATGAAGCACTGTTGTGCTTTCCCGCCTGGTATTTAAACTCTGGGGTCCGTTGGGAGTTGATTACCTCATTTCCGGTTTTTCTTCACAGTGGTGTATATATAGGGTCTAATTCTACATGTTTATTTAAGGCCTTCTTGGTGGAGAACCAGGCCTCTAGAAATTCCCATGCTTGTCTCTGTTTGGCCTATCCTAGGATCCCGATGTTGTCCCAATCGAACTGGTGGTTCTCCTTATCCGTGTGAATGGAGACGAGTGAGTATTGGCCGAGTCTTTTTGTTGCTAGTTGGTGTTCGTGTATTCTTGTGGCCAGTTTCCTTCCTGTCCATCCAATGTAATGTTCGTTGCAGTGTTTGCATGGAATCTTGTATATCACATTGGTTCTATCCATAGTGTGTAAGGGGTCTTTGGTTCAAGTTGGCAGTTGGCGTAGGGTTGACATAGGTTTGTGTGCCATTCTGATCCCCAATGGTCATAGGAGTCTTGTGGTCAGTTCGGATATGTGCTTGATGTATGGTAATGTGACGAGAGTGTCAGGGCATACTATATCTTCCTGTTGCTGTTTGTGTGATGGGCATCATTGAACCCAGCTGTTCGGGACCCGTTGTCCTTAAATACTTGGTAGAGGTATTCTTCTTCATTTTGGCATAGTTCCGGGTTGCTGCAGTGTGTTGTCGCTTGTTTAAATTGTGCTTTCAGACAACTTCGTTTGTGGGTGTTGGGATGGTTACTGTTGAAATTCAGGACTTGGTCCGTTTGTGTGGCCTTTCTGTGTATCTTCGTCAGAAACTCCCCATTGGTCCTGTGTTCTACCAAGACGTCTAGGAACGGGAGCTGTTCATTCTTTTCTTCTTCCCTGGTGAATTTGATGCTGGCGAGAGTGTTGTTTATTAGTTGGTGTGACTGCTAATAAACTAATAAACAACTCTCTCACCAGCAAATTCACCAGGGAAGAAAAGAACGAACCGCTCCCATTCCTAGACGTCATGGTAGAACGCAGGGCCAACGGGGAGTTTCTGATGAAGAGACGAAGATGCAGAACATCTACATTCTGTCCACAAAAATGACCCGAAGCTTCCTGTTGCTTGTCAATTCAAAACACCATATTCCCTGGCCAACATCTGTATCTCAGGCTCACTGCAGTGCTCCTGCAAAGCTCAGTGCAAGCTGGAAGAACAGCATCTCATTTTCCACTTGGGGATTCAGCCTTTAGGATTCAACACCGAGTTCAATAATTTTAGGGCCTTAGCATCTTCTCTCATGTCCTTATCCCTGCCTTGTTTTCACATGGGCTGCTATCATAACCATCCCATTGTCAACCTTTTCCTAGCTACAATCATTTCTGAAGACAGATCATTGGACCCAAAACGTTAACTCTGCTTTCTATCTGTTAATATTAGAATCTTGCACCAATAGGTCCAAAAGGTAGCAGCAGGTATAGCCCTGTATGTAATCACACAGAACAGAACAGAACAAAATGGACAGCTACAGGTTCAATTCTCAGTCAGTGCTGAGAGCATTTGTCTTAACTTGGTCAGCAAATAAGAGTTGGAATATTGAATGGAAAAAGGGATCATGCACCTGACCACTGCTGGAGAGTGTGTGGTCATCATTCAAGGGCAGAATTAAATCAAATCAGCCTGGGCGAGGTCATGGATTTCTCAATGCAAAAAGGATACAGCATTAGGATGGAATAGTACAGGAAAGGAAGGTGAAATTGAAAAAAATGTTTAATTAATTTCTGAACTCATTCAAATGACTGATTTCTCAACAGTATCACATTGTGCAATATTTTCCACGTTTGGTTAACTATTGGTGGTTAACACATGTAAGCACTGTTTGGAGTGTCTAAACTATCTGCAGTGTTACACAATAGGGAGGAAAGGAGGCAAGATTGTCCATTTGAAAAATAATCCCAGATTAACTGTCATTACAACAATTAGTGTAATTTAACACCTTTCAAAATGAAGAAGCAGCCCAAGGCCAACAAAAACAGAAGTTGCTGGAAAAGCTCAGCAGATCTGGCAGCATCTGTGAAGGAAAAAAATCAGAGTTAACGGTTCAGGTCAGGTGACGGGTCACTGGATCCAAAACGTTAACTCTGATTTTTTTCTTCACAGATGCTGCCAGACCTGCTGAGTTTTTCCAGCAATTTGTTTTTGTTGCTGCTGATCGGTTTAGACAGGTGCAGAAACTTAATGTTTAGATTTGGACCCTACATCAGAAGTGGAGTATACTGTATACAGACAAGCTGAAAATGAAGAGGACAAATTAAACAGAATAGAACAACAAAATACTTCAGATACTGGAAATCTGAAATTATTACAGAAAATGCTAGAAACACTCAGGACAGAAAGCATCAGGAGAGAGAAAGAGTTAAAGCTTCAGGTCAGCTTGAGGCCTTTCTAATGTTCTTGTCAGAGATTACAGACTTCAACCTTAAAACTGTTTCATTCCAAGATGCTTCTTGAATAAATATTTTGAAATATTCCCATATTTCTGGTTTTGAAGTTCCTTCATTATGAGTTGCAGAAAGCTAGTATGCAGGTTCAGCAAGTAATAAGGAAGGCAGAAGGAATTTTGGCATCTATTACGAAAGAAAGTATAAAATGTAGGCAAATATTGCTGCAACTGTACAAGGCATTAATGAAACCGCATCTGAAGTAATGCGTACAGTCTTGGCCCGTTATTTGAGGGATGTAGTTGCACCGGATGCAGATTGGAGGAGGTTTACAAAATTAATACCAAAGATGAGGGGCTCGTCTTCTGTAGAGAGATTGAGTAGTTTAGGCCAATACTCTCTAGAGTATAGAAGAATGAGAGGAGATCTAATTGAGCTACATAAGATGCTAAAAGGGATTCACAAACTAGATATAGAAAGGATGTTTCCTCTTGTGGGCTAATCTAGAAAAGATCTGGAGCTTGAGCTGTTCTAGCCAGAGATATCTCCTGCACATGGTCATCCAGACCAGCAGCAGCATCCAGGGTATCCCACAGAGTACAGGATATGATGCTGGTTCAGAGTTCCCCAAATAGAATGAACCCAATAGAAGATGGACCTTCAGTTTTATTGTACTCTCTCTCTGACTTAAGTATAGACTAGAAAAGTATTATTCTTGTTTATGTCACGAATCCCACTCATGTCCTAGGGGTGCAGGTGCATAGTCCCTTCAAAGTGGAATCACAGGTAGACAGGGTGGTGAAGGCGGCGTTTGGCATCCTTGCTTTCATTGGTCATAACACCGAGTACAGGAGGTGGGATATCACACTGCAGCTGTACAGGACATTGGTGAGGCCACTTTCAGATTACAGCATACAATTCTGGTTGCTCTTCTACAGCAAGGATGTTGTTAAACTTAAGGGTGCAGAAAAGACTTACAAGGATGTTGCCAGGGTTGGAGGGTTTGAGTTACAGGGAGAGACTGAATACGTTGGAGTTTTGTGTCGGAGGTCGAGAGGTGACCGTACAGGAGTTTATAAAATCATGAGGGGCAACGTTAGGGTGAATAGTCAAGGTCTTTTCCCTAGGGTGGGCAAGTCCAAAACTACAGCGCTTGGGTTTAAGGTGAACGGGGCAAGATTTAAAAGGACCTTAGGGGTAACTTTTTCATACAGAGGATGGTGCGTGTATGGAACGAGTTGCCAGAGGAAGTGGTGGAGGCTGGTACAATTACAATATTTAAAAGGCATCTGGATGGGTATATGAATAGGAAGGGTTTAGTGGGAAATGGGTCAAACATTAGCAAATGGGACTAGGTCAGATTGAGATGTCTGGTTGGTGCAGACGAATGGGACTGAAGGATCTGTTTCCATGCTGTATGACTATGATTCTAGAGACAGGTATCACAGTTTTATGATAAGGGGTAGTAGATTTAAAACAGAGATGAGCGGAAATTAATTCTCTCAAAGGATCATGTATTTGTGGAATTCTCTAGCCCAGAGTGCGGTGGATACCACAAGACTGAGTAAACTTAATGTGGAGAGAAGCAGATTTTAAATCAGTAATGGGTTGAATGGTTGCGGATAGCTGGCAGGAAAATGCAGTTGAGGCTGCGATGAGATCAGCCAAGATTGTATTGAATAATACAGCAGGCTGAAAAGGATGAATTGTCTACTCCTGCCCCTAGTTCTTGGTATTCTTTTATAATAAAGTACTTAACTGGAAATCAGGAGATGATTAAATGACAGAAATTATAGTAAGAAGGAATTAATAGGAGGTAAATTGACAGATTAAAAAATGAGACATACAAGGCACAGAGTGAGAATGGCTAAGTAGTTGGGGAATAAGTTTAAATGAACAACAAAGCAGAAGCAAGCTCCAGTAATCCCAGGGGCTAATAATAAAAGAAAGCAGACAACAAGGAGACAAATCACTCCCTCTGTATGTGTGCGCCATCCACCATTTCTCTAATTCCTATTTCATTGCCGTTCACCTCAATATCTCACACATTTCTTCACTCATGTTGGCTCACCGATATTATGCAAAGATGCTGCTTTTAATAGTAATTTAACTAAAAATAGTTTAGTTTCATTCATGCAAGTTATGATTACGCATAAAAATGTTGAATTATCCAATAGCTTGCATTAAGCAATGTCAATAACATGGCAAAAAAGAGAATTTAATATGAAAGTTTTGAATTGATAACTTCAGTTGTGCAGGGTAGATGGCAAGATTTTGCACAGAATAATGATTCCTGTAGATTGGAAGGTAACAAATGTCACCCCACTGTTTAAGGAGGGAGCAGGAGAGAAAACAGGGAACTACAACTGGCAGATCAGCCCTGATCATGTTGTTTGTCGGAGCAGGCTCTAAGGGCCAAAAGGCTTACTCCTCCGCCAATTTTCCATGTTTCTATGAGAGGAGTTTGCTATTAACAAGAAGCTGTCTTCAGATCAAAAAAAATTCTGCCTATCACAGAGATTATTGATGCAGTGTATGTATTTCAGTACCAGCATGACATGAAGCTCCATGTGCTCCAAAGACAGTGACATCTCTCCTCTCATACAATGTGAATGTTGTTTTGCCTTTATTTTGGTGTTTTTTGCAACTTGTCCTGATAAGTGCAAGACAAAAATTTTTGACAAAATGCTTATTTTATTTCTCAAAAAGCTTACCCTGTAATGATAGTCCGCTTCTGTCCACTGGACTCTGAAGTTCTCGTATTGTCCACCACGCCAGTACCGTTCAACTTCATGCTCATAATAGGGAGTTATATAGGGGTCAGGCCTAAGGATCAAGAAAAAAGGGTCAAGCTTGTGTACTCCAGTTTCCATTCTATCTTGAATATCACAGCAGTATTCATAAAACATAATTATAGTAGGGTGAATATGATTACATGCAACTGCCTACTAATAACTCTTTGCACATAGGACCAGCCAATGAATTCTAGCAGCCAGATACTGCAGGGTACAATAAAGGCTCAAATCCCCTCTCATAACAAATACTTTCTTATTAGGTGGGGTGTGGTAGTTGGATAATAAGCAGGGATGGGAATTCAGGCTAACAATTTCGAATTCATTTTCCCATTACTACAAATTTATACAAATCAACAACAGTTCTAGTTCATACACTGAGTCGCAAAGAACACTGTTCTGCTGAAATTTCTAATGGTAGCTGTCAGTGAAGGCTGAGTCAAAACAGGACTTCAATGCTACTAGATCATGACAAGGTTGGGGGAACAGCTACCCACTGCTGAAACTGGGAACTCATTCTATGGTAACAGTTCAAATCTAAACATCTGCTGGTAAAACTCAGCATGTTTTAAGTCATCTTTATTAAAAGACTCCATTAAGGGAGAATGTTACGGACACATATGGTCTTTGGTTTTTATGCTAGCATGCTCAACAGCCATGGCTTACGAAGGTGGTTAATTTCTGAGGAATCAAGGGTGATGGCAATTTGCAAAAAGCATATGACATTTGCTAGTGATGCAGATTGTTTTTTTAAGCAGAAGGGCTGGAAGAATCTGGCCATGTGAACAAAAATAGAACTTTACAATCAAGACTGAAATACGTGTACCTGCCCAACCAATATTGACATCCACTTTCAAATCAATGTCTCAAATACTGGCACTTTGGCAGTGAAACTGGACAGAAGGGAGATCAAGCTATGCATGACAATTCACTAATACAGTTTTAGGATTAAAAGTAATTGTAGGGTTAAGAGAGCAGAAGGAATCGTACCTTACTTAAAAGGAGCTCATTAGGGATAGGCTGGTGCTGTGGTTTGATCTGCTTTGCCTTTTGGACCCTGAAGTAAAACCCTATGCCAGTTGTTAAAGATCTTCAAGCTTTAATTATTCACAGAGGTCAATCTTAATTGCCCATTTGATATCATTGAATAATTTGCTAAGCCATCATTGGGAAGTGAGAGGTGTCAGGGGGAAAGACATTAGCATGGATAGAAGATTGGTTAACTAGCAGAAAGCAAACAGTGGGGATAAATGGGTGCTTTTCTGGTTGGCATCAGTGGTTATTGTGCCTTAGGAATCAGTGTTGGGACCGCAAAAGCTTACAATTAACATAAATGATTTAGAGTTGGGGACCAAGTGTAGCGTGTCAAAGTTCACAGAGGACATTAAGACGGGTGGTAGAGCAAAGTGTGCAGAGGGTTATAGATAGGTTAAGTAAGTAGGCAAGGGTCTGGCAGATGGAGTACAATGTTGGTAAATGTGAACTCACCCATTTTGGTAGGAATAACGGCAAAATAGACTATTATTTAAATGGTGAAAAATTGCTGTGCAGAGGCTCGTAGGTGTCCTGGTGTATGAACCACAAAATGTTGGTTTGCATGTGCAGCAGGTAATTAAGAAGGCAAATGGAATATTGTCCTTCGTTGCTAGAGGAATGGAGTTTAAAAATAGGGAGGTTATGCTGTAGCCATATTGGGTGCCGGTGAGGTCATAGCTGGAGTACTGTGTATGGTTTTGGTCTCCTTACTTGAGCAAGGATGTAATGGCACTGGAGGGAGTACAGAGAAGGTTCATTAGGTTGATCCTGGAATTGAGACGGTTGCTTTACGAGGAGAGATTGAGTAAACTAAGATTATACTCACTGGAATTTAGAAAAATGAAGGGGAGGGGGCATGTTAAAAATAAAATTATGAAGGGAATAGATAAGATAGAAGCAGGGATGTTGCTTCCATTGGCATGTGAAACTAGAACTGGGGTCATAGCCTCAAAATAAGGAGAAGTAGATCTGGGATTGAGTTGAGGAAAACCTTCCTCAAAGGGTTGTGAATCTGTGGGATTCCCCGCTAGGGAATTGAGGCTAGCTTGTTGAATTCTTTTTAAGGCAAATAAGATAGATTTTTGAACAAGAAACCTGTGGAAGGGAAATTGTTGGAGTCTATAAATCAAAAATGGATAACTGAACAGCTCGAAATTTTTAACGGTTAGGGATAGAAAGCATGGATTCACGACAAGAATGTCACGCCTGGTAAACCTCACTGAATTTTTTGAAGAGATGACTAACTTAGTGGAAAGGGGAATGTCTGTGGATGTTGTTTAAATGGATTTCCAGAAGGCTTTGGATAAAATCTCACATAAGGGACTGTTAACTAAGGTAGCAGCCCACGGAATTAAGGGCAAATTACTAACGTAGCAGGGAAATTGCTTGAGTGCCAGGCGACAGAAAGCAGGGACGATGGCTGGTACTCAAATTAGCAGGGTGTGACCACTGGTGTCCACAAGGATTTGTGTTATACCTCAGTTATTCATATTATTTATTAATGACTTTCAGGTGCATCGACCATTAAAATTCCACAAAGAGATGCAATGAATAATCAAGGCAGCTAATGGAATGTTGGCCTCTATAGCTAGAGGACTGGAGTTTAAGAAAACAGAAGCTATGCTGCAGTTATACAAAACCCTTGTTAGGCCCCACTTGGAATACTGTGAACAGATCTGGGCACCATACCTTAGGAAGGGTAGGTTTACAAGAATGATACTTGGACTTCAGGGGTTAAATTATGAGGAGAGAATACACAAATTAGGCCTGCTTTCTCTATAATTCGTAAGATTAAGGGGTGATCTGATTGAAGTCTTCAAGATATAACAGGAAAAGACAGGGTAGATAAAGCTAAGCTATTTTCACTGACTGGAGATTCTAGAATTAAGGAGCACAAGTCTAAAAATTAGGGCCACACTGTTCAGCAGAGATGTCAGGAAGCACTTTTGCCCAGAAAGGGTAGTCAAGGTTTGGACCGCTCTTCCAAAAATAGCAATTGATGTGGATCAGATGTTAATTTTAGAGGTAGATAAATGTTTAAGGCAAGGGAATTAAAGGATACAGGCCAAAGGCAGGTATATGGAGCTAGGCCACAGATTAGCCATGATCTCACTGAAGGGCAGTACAGGGTTGAGGAGCTGAATGATCTAGTCATACTCCTAGACAAGGAAGGAAATTTTCCCCTTGGTGGAGATATCAACGACTGGGGTGCATAAATTTAAAGTAAGGAGCAGGAGATTTAGAAAGTTATGTGAGGAAAGATTTTTTCATTCAAAGTGAAAAAGTGCTGGGAATCTGGAACGTACTGCCTGCAAAGGTGGTAGAGGCAGAAACCCTCAAAACATTTAAGCAGTATTTAGATGTACACTGCAATGCCAAGGCATACGAGGCCATGGGCCAAGTGCAGAATAATTAGTTGATTGTTTTTGACCGGCACAGACTTGATGGGCTGAAGGTCCTTTGCCTGTGCCTTAGATCTCTTTTACTATATACGCCTCATGTGTACCTTGTAGGTACTAGAGAACGTTTGGGGCAGCCAGGAGGTAGACATTATGTACCCATAATTCATAGCCTTAAATGTGCTCTTGTAGTCACTTTTTTTTAAATATACATTTCAAGAAGTTAGCAGTGTGATGGAATGCTTTCCCACTTGCTCCAGATGAATGCAACTCCTACAACACTTAAGAAGCCCAACAGTTACAGAACAAAGAAGCAGTCCACTTGATGGGCATCCTGTCCACCATCCTCAACATTCACCTCTCTCCACCACGACTGTATTGCCAACAGTGTGTACAATGCACTGCACCAACATATCCAGGGGTCTATGACAGTACCTTCCTAACCAGCAACCTCCACGACCCAGAATGGGGCAGATGATTCACGGGAATGCCACAATCTGCAGGTTTCCCTCCAAATCTCATCATCCTAACCTGGAATCATACTGCAATTCCTTCACTGCCGTAGGTCAAAATCCTGGGACACTCTCTTCCAGCACTGTGGGAGTCCCAGGGCGACATATTGCAGTGATTTAAAAAGGCTCTCCACCACCATCTCAGAACTGACACTCCAGAACTTGGCACACCTCCTAAGTTGTTCCAGTACAACTGCAATATCGGCACCTACCTTAGGGCAGTGTCCTAGGTCCAGACATCTTCAGCTACTTCATCAATGAACTTCCTTCCAGAAGATCAGAAGTGGGGGTGTTTGCTGATGATTGCAGTGTTCAGCCTCATTTGCAATGACTCGGACACTAAAGCAGCCCACGTCTAAATGAAGGCTTGAATTAATAAGTGGCATGTAACATTCATGCCACACAAGTATCAGACAATGACCATCCCTATCAATAAATAATCTAACCATTACCTCTGATGTCCAATTGCATTACCATCACTGAATCCACCCGCCATCCCCGACCCCACCACTATCAACATCCTGTGGGGTTAGCATTTACCAGCAACTGAACAGGACTAGCCGTACAAGCACTGCAACCACAACAGAAGGTCAGAGGCTAGGAATTCTGCACAGAGTAACTCATCTTTCTGTCTCTCTAATGCCGGTTCCCCATCCACAAGGCATAAACTAGGAGTGTCACGGAGTATTCTCCAACAACATTCAAGCAGTTTGACACCACCCAGAATAAAAACAGCTCGCTGGGCTCATGTGGTGCAGTGGTAGAGTACCTACACTGAGCCAGTGGCCCAGTGTTGAAGTCCCTCCTGCTCCAGAGGTGGGTGCAAAAACATCTCTGAACAGGTTGATGAGGAAACGTCCAAAGCAGCCCACTTGATTGGCAACCCCTCTAACATCTTCAAGATTTACTGTCTCCACCACTGATGCACAGTGTGCACCATCTACGAGATGCAACAACTCACCAAGACTCCTTTGACAGAGCCTTCCAAACTTGTGACCTCTACCGCCTTGAAGGACAAGGGCTGCAGATGCTTAAGAACACATTCATTTGCAAGTGCCTCTCCACACCATCCTGCCTTCAAACTGCATCGCTGTTCCTTCACTCTCACTGGCTTAAAATCCTGGAACACCCTCCCTAACTGCACTCAGTATTCATACACTTCAAAGAACTTCAGTGGTTCAAGAAGGCAGCTCACCATCACCTTCTCCAGGGCAATAGGAATGGGCAATAAATGATGGCCTAACCAGCAACACCCACATTCCATGAACCAATAAACAAATCAACGATAATTTTACCGAGAGTACTTCTGAATTGATTTGTTACTTGAATTGAAATTTTGCCAGTAGCCATGCTGGGATTTGAATCAAAGTCTCCAGACCATTAGCGACCCCATGGTTCCAAAAGACTTTTACTGGACTCAAAATGCTAATTCTCGCTTCTCTCTCCATAGATGCTGCCAGACCTGTTATGTTTCTCCTACATTTTGCGTTTTTTTCATTTCAGACCTCCAGGATTCAGAGTGCTTTGCTTTGGTCTCCAGAGCATTAGTCTGGGTTACTGGTACTAATTAACATTTGTCTGGATTATTAACCCAGTGACAATACCACTACATTGTCTCCCCTTGGTACTTTTGTTGAGTTTCTGATCAATAGTGCCCCCTAGAATGCCAACAGTAGGGGTATCAGTGGTGGTAATGGCAATGAATGTCAAGGTGAGGTGTTTAAGACTCCACCTTGGTCAGGACAGGCATTGACTGGCACTTAAGTGTCAAGTAACATTGTGGTACATATCAACCGAAGTACAAAAGTCATCAAGGTTTTGCCATTTATGGCCAGTGACTGCTTCATTTTGAGGAAATGCAGATGCAGGTGAAGTTAGATAGAACCCATCCTATAGATATTTTCTGGACAACCCATTTTGAGATGCTATTACACCTCTGGAGCAGGTGAGATTGATTCAGAGGTAGGGACACTATCACTGCGCCACAAGAGTCCTGGAACCCATCTTCTCTGTCGTCCAAAATTAAGCACTAACTGGGAGTCAAGCTCGGAAAACAAGAACAAGCACTTGGAGGTGATTTTGCATCACTGAACATTTAAGCTAATTAATGCCTCCGCCCCCCCACCGGGACTGTTGCTAACTGTGCAAATACACCTCTCAGAATTCACTAGCAAATTATAAAAAAAACGTTGAACTCTGCCCTCAAAACACAACCTTGGGAGATAACCAGACCACTGATGGATGCATCCCACCTTCCCAAGATGTTAATCTGAGCACAAAAGTTTCCCTGACACTTGGAAATCTTATACAGTTCACACAGAAAACTATCCCAAAACAGACAATGAGTATTCGTCAACAAATGGTCAATTCAGAATGATTTTAACTTTGCTCCAACATCACTGTACCACTCTGCCTCTTGTTCACAGGGAACCAATTCTTCCAGCCTCCTCCTCTCTTTGTTTCATTGAAACAAAAACAGGAATTAAATTAGCAATGATATTCATGCAAAGCTCCAGCTCAGGCATGGTGAATAGTCTGACCAGTAAATCTATAAATGAAAGTATTAACAATAGTAAAGAACACACTGAACAGTCCTTACCCGTAACTGATTGCCTCTCTGTACTCCAAGTCGCTGGTGCATTTGAAGGAAAGTACAAGAAGGTTTTATTTGGCTTGCTACTTTAAACTCGTTCACGTTTCCAATAGAAGCTGAAGCCCGAAAACAGTTAACAGCCTTTAAAACCTATTATCCTCAATTACTGTAACCAAATTCCAACTCTAATATTTCCAACTGAAACATGTAATAAGTTGGCACTTGTTTGTTACCAATAACTGAAAGCAGCATCTAAACACACCTAACTCAACAATGGCCAAATGCACTTTATAGAATTGTCTCAATAAGCAAAGCCTCCTTCCAAAAGCTCTCCAGAATAATATGCCATTAACATTTATGCCAAAATGCTCAAAACAGGAGGATCACATTCAAAGCATCAACTTTGGAAATAGTGCTGTCCATAATGCAGAAGGGAGCAATATTCAATTGAGTTTCTTTTGCATGAACCTACCATAAACATATTTTTGAGGACTCATCCTGAAAAATTCAATTCTGTTGGACACAGATGTATCTTGCTTACCAGCTTTCCCATTACAAATTTACTGGGAAAACAGGTGATGGAAAGATCGCACGCTGCCTCAACGCTCAATACAGAGTTGGAGGCCCCCTGACTATATCAAAGGAGTGTTTTTGGCTAGCTCTTAGTGGATGGAGTCATGTTGAGCCAGAAGATCAAGTTGTCTTACAGAAGAAACAGAGACAAATGCCAGTTCTGATCTGGTTCAGAAAGAAACATACATTTCTCATCAGAAAATGAAACCTTGATTCAGTCATCACCTTTCTCCCTCAGGAGCACCAAGGATACTTGATTCATCCACCTCCGTGGTGGCTGGGATTGCATAACTCAACACATATCAAGGATAGAACTGGAGCCCTGTAATTGGGTACAGCGTAGAGATTCTCCAGACAACGCACATTAACATGAAGCCAAATGATAAAATGAAGGCAGGAGCAAAATTCAGCAACCATTTTAATGCATGAGAAGGTAAAACTGCATTTTTCTTTTCAATGAGAAAACTGTAGCATCTGAACTCATTCAAATGACATGATAAATGGTGGTGAAACTAGCTAAAGCTGAGTGGCAATTGATCTTCAGATCAAAACTACATGAATTCTGAATTGTACAATATTAAGTTAGTATATCATCTCCTGCAACCTAATGCAATATGCAGAATACTGACTGGTACAAATTGGAATTTCCCTCAAGGAGGGAACTATTTTGCTGTCAGACCCTGGACCAATTTGGCTAACAGAAAGTGGATTAGGATTTAGTGCTGCTTCTGGCCAGTATCAAGATGTTGCCCAGCCAGTAAGCGTTTCTGCAAATCACAAAAATGCCCGTAATACTCTCCATTTGTATAAAGGAAGAATTAAGAAAGAGGTTTACCAAAGTGATGTCATACATATGACTGACACTCCAACTGGATGATTCTACTGTCCCAGCCTACGCACTTTGGCAATTAGGTCCATCAAACACAGCTATCTCGTTCACTTATGTTTACATTGGTCACTCAATGAATTACCCTGTTTGAATTTTATACGCTTATTTGGACTGATCTTTGTGCAATTATTGCATTTGTAGATGAACTCTAAATTACAACGTCAAGATACAATAGTATCAACAGTTTTGAGATATGTGGGTTACACTTGCAACAGAGATGAAAATTTTAAATGTGTCCTCAGAGAAAAAGGGGTACAATACAAAGTATTGTTGCCTGCATGCAAAAACACATTAGGTACATCCGTAACAGAACATAATAATCCACCTCAAATTTAGATTCCTTGAATCCAATACTGAGAAAACAAAGATCCTAAACGAATTATTAGCTCTCCGAGCCTAGCCAATTGAGACAGCATGAGCAAATTGTGCTCACTACTCATTAACAAAGTGGCAGGACACATCTGTTCTGATCAACTACAGTCAATATGGAAACCAGCTTCTGTGCCTTTCCGTGCTCACCCTGGCTCTCGGATGTCTCTTGCAACACGGTAATTCCAGTCCCGATAAAAATCATTTTCCTTGTCAAAATCATCGTCACCAATTGTAACATTGAACCTTTTTTCCTCAAAGTCTGGTTCTTGTTCTTTCCTGATGGTGGCTTTTTTCAGCATCTGAAAGTAAAAACATGAAAGACTGAAAACAAATCCAAGCATCAATTCAGCAGCAATCCCTCAAATTACCTTTGCTGTATTTCTCTCCTCACTCACTATTCAACACCTGGTCAACACGTACCTAGACTCACTGTGACTAACCATAAATAACTAAGTAATCAGTAACCTCATATCAGATTTGATGTT